TGGATGGAGAGGGATGGATGGATAGACATGGATGGAGAGAGGGAGGGATGGATAGATAGAGAGGGATGGATGGATAGAGAGGGATGGATGGATGGATGAATAGAGGGGGATGGATAGTTGGATAGAGAGGGATGGATGGATGGATAGAGAGGGATGGATGGATGGATAGAGAGGGATGGATGGGTGGATGGATAGAGAGGGATGGATAGTTGGATAGAGAGGGATGGATGATATGGATGGATGGATAGAGAGGGATGGATGGATGAATAGAGGGGGATGGCTAGTTGGATAGAGAGGGATGGATGATATGGATGGATGGATAGAGAGGGATGGATGGATGGATAGAGAAGGATGGATGGATAGAGAGGGATGGATGGAGAGGGATGGATAATATGGATGGATGGATTGAGAGGGATGGATGGATGGATGGATAGAGAGTGATGGATGAATGGAGAGAGAGGGATGGATGGATAGTGAGGGATGGATGGACAGAGAGTGTGTGTATGTTTGCAATTTTTACTATTTGTGTGTTTGTATACATATATATATAGAGAGAGAGATATCTATATATCTAAATTTATAGAGATATATTTATATATAGTGTTTCTATGCAAACACACACAGGAGGGGGGCAGGCATAGAAAGCGAATGCGCGGTAGAGCTCTGAGTTCATTCATAGGGTGGCATTCAATGCTGCTCTATGAAGAACCCGATTGGTGCAGCGCGAATCCGCGCATATGCACCAGATCGCTATGACTTTTCTCTAAGAGAACTGTCTGTTTGAGCCCTGCTATTTCGTCATTTTGATGAAAAAGGGGGCGCGGCCTGACGAGGATCTCAGGGAGCTGGAACGGAGGTAAGTTTATGTCATAAAAAGGAATCGAAAATTATTTTTAATAAGAAGAAGTTCATATAAAAGCATGGAAGAAGGCTAGGAGACCTGTCTTTCTTGCTTTTATATGTAGACTATAGTGCTTCTTTAATTTTGGCTGAAAATTCCCACCTGCAATATAGAAATGTATCAATAGAGGGTGCTGCCAGCAAAGCACCCAACTTATTGGGTCTACTCACATCTTCTGGTGCATGGTCTGTTCTCAAAGCCACTGTTATATGTTTTTTCCCCCTTTAGGCCACCTTGGGTGATGTGGAGACTCCAGTAGACCTGGTTGTTCTTCATGCCAGGCCTATAGTATATAGTCCAAAAATATATCACATTTCATGGTTATTTCTGAGAATGCTCTCAATGTTCCCTGTTTTATACAGCCCATATTGGCTGACTGGCAGATCTGTGTTAGAATGTCCTGTATGTTGACATATGTGTCAGGTTTCCCTGTCTCCATGGCACAAGTGACGCACATTGTGTCATAGGTACGTCCTTCTACAGTTCCGTCTCCCTCTCATTCCAGGTTCTAGCCCTCCTAATGTGTGGCGGTATAGTGATCATGTTTGTAATGAATATTCAATTCTAACGAGTGTTAGTATAAAGTGAGTGAATGTGTACATTTAGTGACATATTAAGAGGATTTGTACTTGTGTGAGCACGAGAGGGGTTCGTTAACACCCAGTGCAATGGTGAGGACCACAAGTGCAATGACCCACTCACTGGCAACAGGTAAGAAGTGTGGGGGGACATAAAGCTTGTTTTCTCTTTTAAAATAAAAATAATTTTAAAAAATATACATTTGCTCCCTTCACACTCCCAAACAATATAGACCCTATGCACCGTTACATACACTGCACCTTTCACACACAGATTGCTCACCTCACACACACACACACTGCAGCCTCACACACTGCACCCCTCACAGCAGTCTGTGCGTGTATATTCAGCACACTGTGTGTTTGGATTCAGCAGTCTGTGTGTGTGTATTCATCACACTGTGTGTTTGGATTCAGCAGTCTGTGTGTGTTTGGATTCAGTGGTCTGTGAATGTATTCAGCAATCTGTGTGTGTGTGTGTGTGTGTATGTATTGCATTTGTTAGAGGTACTAATAAATATAAGCTTAATTATATCAATAATTCAAAAAAAAATTCATGCGAGTAGTTGTATAGGCAGAGACCCCAGTGCACTGTATTGTCCTAGGGTTAGTGTTGCTACCTTTTCGGCTGACGGAGTGGGCGTTCAGGTAATGGAGAATTGAGGGAGGCAGGCGGCTGACGTAGTGCGGTGGCGAGGGAGGGAGCTGTAATCTCCCTGCTCAGCTCCCTTGCGTGCCTTGCAGTGATGCCGAGAACCGGGTTATGACATCACTTTGGCCCCGAGCACACAAAACAGTGCGTGAGAGGGAGCTGAGTAGGGAGATGACAGTAGCCCCATTGTACCCCAGGGAAAGCCTATTCACTCCAGCTCTCCAAAGGTAGGGAGACTGGGTGTATTAAAAAAAAAAATTAAAGTAATTATTTGTGAGTGAGTGTGTCTGTCTGTGTGTTTATCTGTCTGTTAGTGTGTCTGTCTGTGTGAAGGTCAGTGATTGTCTGTTCCCTCCAATTACATGGGAAAGGTGTTTTCACTCACCTTTTTCCCCCACGCCGTACTAATGACGCTGCAGCTGGCTCCATCTCCATGACTGAGATTATCAGTCTTGACGATCTCAGCCAATCTAATGCTTCCCCATAGGAAAGAATTAGGAGACTATTGTGCATGCACGACAAAATGCCACTGCGCCAATTTAACATCTCATAGAGATGCACTGAATCAATATAGGGAACATTAACTTAGGTGCTGCACAGTGTGAAGCACTTGCCCAATAAACACCTCTAGAGGCTGTCTGAGTGACTGTTGCTAGAAGTGTCACCAGGCAGCAATGTAAACACTTGCTTTGTCTGAAAAGTCAGTGTTTACATTGAAAAGCACTCAGGGACAGGATATAGACTTCAGACCAACTACATTAAGCTGTAGTGGTTCTGGTGACTATAGTGTCCCTTTAAGAATTTTATTTTTGGCGTTGATTTCCCTGGCTCCTATCTTTTCTAGCTGGCTCTTAGATTCCAAACAAATTTGTCAAGCCCTGGTGTATATGCTGTCTGAATGAGTGTGTGTATAGCAATATGTTGTCTAAATGTGTATAGCTGTGTGCATACTGTTGTCGGAGTATGTGTCTACTATGTCTGTATATGTTATTGTGTGTGTGTATATAGTATATAACAATGCGTGTACATGCTATTTATCAACAGAGATGGACATCCTGGTTCTAGTACTCTCAACCATTCTCCATCCGAGTGCTAAATACACACACAGACTGCTAAATATAAACATACAGACTGCTGAATGCATTCAGAGCCTCCTGAATACACACACAGACTTCTGAATACACACACAGACTGCTGAATACACACACACACACAGACTGCTAATTACACACTTATACTGCTGAATACACACACAGACTGCTGGAAGCACACACACACAGACTGTTGAATACATACAGACTGTTGAATAAACACACACATGTACCTGCTCTCAGTTCTCAGGCCCTTCTGCCATGCTTCCCCTGGTCCTGTAGCTCTTGCTTCTCCCATGCGGATTCTTTGAGCGGAGAGGGCAAGAACATGCTATGCCATCCTAACCACACAGCTCAGGCACCAACAAGTCTAGCATGGCTTGAGAGCACTATACACCCTCGTGGCCGGTGCCGATATTGGAGCACATTCACCTCTCCGAAAAATACCGGCATTTGTATTGTCTGTATTTTTGCAATACCGGCACTGACCACACAGCATCAAATACTGGCTGTGCTGGTAAAATACCAGCCAGGTGGCAACCCTACCTAGGGTCTATAATGCATCTAAGACCCCACTACAGCACCTAACCCCCCTTTACAGCCTTTATCACCCCACATCACATCCCATATTTCTCTACAACACAGCCCCTATCCCCCACTACATCCCATAATCAACAACTATACCTCATATCTCCCCACTACAGCCCCTAACCCCCCTTTACATCCTTTATCACCCCATATCACATCCCATATTTCCCTACAGCACATCCCATAATCAACAACTATAGCTCATATCTCCCCACTACAGCCCCTAACCCCCCTTTACAGCCTTTATCACCCCACATCACATCCCATATTTCTCTACAACACAGCCCCTATCCCCCACTACATCCCATAATCAACAACTATACCTCATATCTCCCCACTACAGCCCCTAACCCCCCTTTACATCCTTTATCACCCCATATCACATCCCATATTTCCCTACAGCACATCCCATAATCAACAACTATAGCTCATATCTCCCCACTACAGCCCCTAACCCCCCTTTACAGCCTTTATCACCCCATATCACATCCCATATTTCCCTACAACACAGCCCCTATCCCCCACTACAAAAACCCTATTCCCCCACTGTAGCCTCCCACCTATAGCCTCCCTTACAGTTTCCTACCTCCCACCACAGTTCCTATTCCCAGTTACAACCTCTCTCCTCACCCCTAAAGCCCTATTCCCCCAGATACCTCAACTCCAGTGCTTATTTAATTATACAGAATTACACCATTCCCTGTCATAACACTGAATGCATCATTGGACCCCACACTTGGGGGCCTGTCACTATAGATGGTGCTATAACAGCAGTGTTTTAAATGGGGCACCGTTATAGCTTCTACGTAATGAAGCACATTAGAAGTCAAGTGAAGCAATAATTTAGAATTGCATAGAGTTTTGACAAACTGACAACAAAATCAATGAAATGTGACCCGAGATTTGGTATAGATGTACACTGGAAATTGGTATTATCCCATCCCTCAGTAATAACATATTGGAATCTGGATTTGTATATATATAGCTGTCCAAAAAAGCAATAAGTGGCAGAGTTATAGGAGGACATGAAATATTTTAGCCCGGATCGGTACACTTGGCTATCGCTAATTTTCAGTACATCCTGGAGTGTAAATGTTGTTTCCCAGCTCAATGGTATTCATTTTATTAAGTTTGTTAAGATGAAAGTTGAATAAAGCTTGTACTTGTAGCAGATACTAAAAATTCTGTAGATCAAGCACTATCCACCGAGATATCTTGGCAGCCGTGGTGTAATGAACACTTGTTATAAAACATAAGATGAAATATTTCCGAAGACAGTCCGAGTAATAGAAGGTAGCCTAATCCAGTTATACAGGAACGGGTTTTAAGAATCCAGGAATAATCCAATCCTGCACATCATGTTATAAGAAGCAGTGTTGAAAATAAGTTGAAAGCATAGAACTTATGACGTACCTTAACAGGAAACCAAATAAGTGGTTGTATATTCCATATGATGACTGGGATCCGGCTTGGTAACGAGGCTGGTACATTCACTGGAACCCATAGCAACCAGTATATTAGCTGGTAACACTGCCGATGATCACAGCCTGTGGGAGTTCTGATTGATAGAAGCCAGTACTGAACAGACCGAGTGCTATGAAATTGCTCATTCAATATTGTGTTCCTGCTACTGCAGTGACCCTTTAAGCAGAGTCGATATAGAGTCTGCAGAATTCACAGAGTTCCAATGAATGGCTAGAGAGCAAGCAGGAACAGGCAACGGAATCCATAAACCAAAGCGAGAATCAGACCTGGTTCTCCATGCCCTTTGCTGCAGTTATGGATTGTGTCAACCAGGACTAATAAGTAGTCTGGCAGTGCTGTAACACATACATGAAAAAGTTTGCAAAAGGCATGGAGCTGTGAGCTCTAAGGCTGTGTAAAGCCTGCAAGTTACCTGTACTACCTGAGCAACATGGTCTAATTAACTGAGAATGTTTCTCCTGGAGATCAGAGACTTATTGCAAAGCAGGAAGAATGTCACAAGATCATCCAGTGACCAATAGCCTGTAGCATTTCATTCTTCTAGAATAGATCTGTTGACCAACTCCCCCCAGTGGCCAAGGAGGAAAAGGCAAGTAAACCCTTTAGGAAGGATTTTGGTTTTTTGTTGTGGTTTTTTAAAGGTGGATTTTTTTTTTTTTTTTACCAAGGCTTCCTAGTACCAGATGAATAATCAGATTAGATTTGGAACTGCCCAAACTGGGCGGTTTAAGAGCAACAGCATACTAAGCAATATAACGCAAACATCTTACACAATTGGGAAGAAAAGGGACCCTCTGAATGCCTATGCAGTTTTAGATTTATTTCCCCTCATAATAGGTCTGAGCATTTTGCCATTTCTAGCTACCCATGGTTTTGTAGGGTAGGGGCCCGGCCAATGATTACCATCTCACCCTCTGGTAAGTAGGTGGAGGGTAAAACGGAAATTCGTTCCTGGGAAGTGTCTTGTAGCCTCCTAACCATGTAATAACAGACAATGTGTCCTCTGTTCTAAACATGTATATGGTGGTTTATAGTAAAGAAATTGCAACATATGTTACATGAAACAAGGTTAAAAGAAGAAGTGAAAAGAAGAGGAAATTCAAGAAACCTAAAAGAAAATTTGAGTGAGAGGGAAAAGGTCAAAGAATGAGAAGAAAGATTGAAAATAAAAAAAGAAAATGAGACAAATGACTGAGGAAAAGAGAGTACAAGATATATAAATGTTTAGCAATGTATCGGATTAGTATTTATTATATTATTGGTCTGTGTATAGGTTTAGGGGGAAAACCAACGCAAAACTATACAGAGTTTCCCCAATTTCTGCAGTACATTTTTTTTTTTTTTTTTTAATTCTATTGTCAGTTTCCCATAAACTTTGTTTCTGCAAAGATGACGACGTGTTTTCTTAATTGTGGCCCAATTCCAATAATATAAACAAAGAATTAACAAAATTTAAAAAAAAATAAATAAATTAAAAATCCCAAATAGATTTATAGATATACACACACACAAATATTTATTACAAATCATAAATATGGGGGTATTTACAATTAATACATTTATATAATGTATAGTATAAAATATTTACATAACTGATATGAATTAAAAAAAATATATATAATACTGTAGGAAAAAAAAAAAAAAAAAAGTCCATAAATGTAAACGCAGTTGACATGGAGCGGTAAATTGTATTCTAAAATGCAAAAATGTTGTCTAAAATAACTTGTAATTACATTTTTCATTCCTTAAAATTCAGTATTGATTCAGAATGGTGGGTTTATTCCAATAAAGTGCATTAGAACAGGTATAGAGGATTAGGTACAGGACTAAGTAAGTCTAGCAACAGGGGGTTAATTTTATTTGTGTAAAGGCTGCTCGCATTTTAGCTGCCTCTGCCTCCATTTCCTCCTTTCTTTGGCATGCCACCTCAGCCAGGATTTGCAACATGCTCATTTGTTCCTCTAGTTCATTCTCTTGGGCTGCAGCAAGCACAGGTAGCGAGCATTCCTCTAGTTCAATCTCTTGGGGTGCAGCAAGCACAGGTGGTGGGCTTAAAACCTCTGCAGGATGGCTGAGGACTGGTTGAAATGTCAACCTGGACTGGCCACCTTCTTCTGCAGAACCCTGAAGGAGATCATGGCCAATCCTGGATAGCAGAGCAAGGGGTGGGAATACGGTATAGGACACCGGCACTGCAGCAATAATGTTCATGGGGGGAGAAGAAGGAGAAGCTGGGTCAACCCTTACACTTAATTTTGGGTTGTGTGGAGGAATCTTTTTCCTGTTTCCCTTTGGTGTTGAGGCAGACGAACCTGGTGCAATGCCTTTTTCTAATAAAATTTTGTGCAGTTTCCGCCTTCTTGCATTAATTAGCCAGTTAGATATCTGTAAACAGAGAATGGATAGACATAAGTCAGAGGGAATAGAAATATAATAATTCTAAAACGTCACCTGTCCATTAAGGCACTTAAAAACCCCAGGTACACTCACTTTCATTCTCTTCCATAATGAAAAGAAAAGGGGTTAAGAGACAATGAACATGGAGTAGTAATAGCAACTGTAGGGAAAGAGTTTAAATATGCACATTTATTGGGTTATTCACCAACGTGAGAATTCAAAGTTAAAAATTGAGGCCAAAGTAGCCAAACATGAAGCCTTGAATTTAAAATTCACTTTAGAATTTTCACTTCAGTGAATAATTACGTTAGTAATGCAGAGCAAACACCGTGAAAACACGATTTGATACTTACTTGAGTGAGTGTTAAACCAGTTGCCTCAGCCAGCTCTACCTTCTCTCTGTCATTTGGGTAGGGGTGTAGGCAATGCTCTGCGAGCCAGCCCTTTAAAATATCAACCGATTGTGGGGACAAATTCTTACGGACTTTTCGATCACCAATTTCTTCAACATACATGGATTCTGAAATATTGGGTGAGAGTTTAAGAATGCAACTAGTAAATATCCCTCTCAGACTATCTTAAAAAGGGGCACAGAATGGGAGTTTAATCACAGAGCTCCACAGCAACAATGATTATTTTGTATGTGTGAATTACAAACTTCAATTCTAGGATTGTGCCGATTACTCTTCATATATAAAATGATGAATGCTCACCTCACTATCTGACTAGTGTGGAACTCAGCAAAAACTTTTTTTTTATATTAAATACACACAAATTAATTTAGATGAAGTTGTTTTGGTGCCTGGAGTGTCCCTTTAACCCCTTAAGGACCAAACTTCTGGAATAAAAGGGAATCATGACATGTCACACATGTCATGTGTCCTTAAGGGGTTAAGCAGAGAATTAACTTCTAAAAGAAGCAGCATTTATTAAGATAGATAATGGAAAGTAAACCATCAGCAGTTAATATTCCAATTGGTAATCGGATGGTATACGTATGTCTATTGTTAAATCTAAACAATGGATTGGACACCAGCATGCAGAGTTCTACGATCTCCTTACAAATCAAACCCTTACAACAAATTCAGAAGCAAATGTCTCTCTCCTGATTCCAATGAGCAAACATGAAATCCTATAGGTGGGCTTCCTAATTTCTTTCACACATAAACTAGGCTTGCCAGATCCTCGGTTTTCTAGTGGCTCTTTTCACATGTTACCCTATAGTATGTGTCATTCATGATGGATCAATCAGGGCACTTCAGCTGGAATTCTTCCATTAATTAATGTCCCTCCTGAATGCATGTGAATGCTATATACAGCAGTGCTGCCCCTTAACATGTAGGAGTGATACCATCAATGGAAACCTACATTATGCCATTTTAGCACATGTCTACTTAGTAAGTTCACATTTTTGTGAATAAACCCTCAAAATTACTTTTAAATTTAAGGCCAAAATTGCTGAATGGCAAAAATAGTTGACAGAAGTTTATTTCCCCCAATTTGGCTATTTTGGAAAAAAAATAAAAATGTTTAACCCCTTAAGGACACATGGCATGTGTGACATGTCATGATTTCCTTTTATTCCAGAAGTTTGGTCCTTAAGGGGTTAAACTCCTGATAGTTCACACTTAGGTAAATAGCCCATTGAGAGCTTGTATTTAGGTTTACGCCTTTTCGGAGAACTCTCCCTGTTGATTCAGAAAGGATAAATCCTTTTCACTCACAAACTTTGGTCTTTGTTTTAAAAAAAATGGGAACCTCCTATTCCCTCCCCCGTCCTCCATCTCCACATGTCATTTTAAACTCCCAGCAAAAAGACAACATGAAATGGAGTCAGTCCATGTTTGGAAGGATCAGCTGTTCATTCACTTAGAAAGTTTTTTTGTTTTATTTTGCAATCATTGTGTAGAACAAATGACAACATATTTGTGTGGCATGATAATCTGTATTAAGGTAATTATACAAAGTTCTTTTAAGCAAAATTATCAATATAAAAACAAACAGGGATATAAACTAGAATTAAATTTTCCATGAGAAATTAACACTCTAGGTTAAAATTGCCAAATTTGAAACATTTTTATTTCACCTTCTGCCCTGGTTTTTCCTCTTGTCCATTTTGCACAATACACAATTTACTGAATAACCCCATGTGTACCCATTGTACAGCGCTACGGAATTTGATGGCGCTATATAAATAAAATAATAATGTGTCACCATGACACAGAGCGATGGCGCTAGACACATCAAATGCAGCAAAAAGAAACTGTAACCATTATTCCAGAAACTTAACCCCTTAAGGACACATGACGTGTGTGACATGTCATGATTCCCTTTTATTCCTGAAGTTTGGTCCTTAAGGGGTTAAATAAATTAAATATTACATGCTGGTTATTGAACCTTCATGGAGTTCAATGGGAAAAATTCTCTTAATGTTTATATAAATGAGATTTATTATAAAATTCAGATATTAATGTCCTTCATTCCTGCTATCCATTCCAGACCACATGGTGATTCTCTATTAATGTTAACATGCAGTTTATATATCTTACCTGGTTTTGCAAGGATGGGTTCCATTGTTGTTATGGTAGCAATAATGAAGAATAATTAAATTCTCAGACTGGTAGCAGGGAAGCTCAGCTTGATTACCTGTGGACAGGTGAGGGAATATGACAGTCTATGTCCAGTCTGAAAAGTTTGATGCATCCACCAAATCCCTGGGAGGGGTAAGATTTAAAGGAAGGGTCATGATTGGCTGAAGTTGACTGGTGGAGGGGATGCCTAGAGACTGTCACAATTTACATATCACTAAGACTTCAACAAATGGTTTCCTGAAGTGAAGTGTGTGTTGTTTTTTGAAAAACCAAAATGGTGGACTGTCTTTGTCTGACTCCACCACCAACATCAGACTGCCATTTACACAGATATCAACTATTACATTGGATAGATATTTATTTATGTGGGATTTAATTTGCAACAAGTAATTATCTGTGTGTGTAAATTTATAATGTGTATTGGCATTTTACAGAGCTATCATATCCTTAATTTTGTTTCCTGCACAGCCATGTGTTATTTAGTTAATACTTGGTGAAACAGAAATACTTACAAAGATTAAACCAGAAGTGGCACTGTTGTACTAGTTTAATGGAAAGTGTTGCCAGTTGTATCCCATTGTGAATGGAATTGTATTGTTATGCAGGTTACACAAATACAAAATGGAGGGAAACTATGCAGTTACTCTACATGGTGAAGGAGGAGGGGGGTGCGAGCTTTTTGCATTGTGTTTCAAAAGGACAGTCCAGGGTAAAGCTCACCCTCTGTTTATAGAATTGTATAGACAATATATTAAAAATGAGAATCCAGCGCACTTGCTTATCTACTAAACAGTCATTTATTTTGCTAAACAATTTTCAGTTTTGTTAAAAACACCCAATCTAGGCAAAAAAATATAATGGGGGTTTAGTTACAGTATATGATCATACATTGCATAAGCCTGCCACAACGCCAATAGACAATATATTAAACACAAAGTTACTTCTCTCTATGGTTCCTATATTTGTTTCAAATCCCCAAGAATATCGTGTACAATCCTCTTTTTGTTTCTTCTCTAATGTAAAATGTTACTGCTACACAGGGCTTACAAGCTCTCTCAAGCAAAACGGTTAGGGGGATGGGTGCAACTTGGTTCTCCTGACAACATAACTCATACAGTGCGTTGTAGTGGTTATGGTGCTTGGAGTTCTCTGTAAGCATGCTGTTTATTTATTCTACTTTTTTCATTCATCCACTGCAGGTATGTGTGATGGTGTGGTCCTATACAATAGGATTGGCAAACTTAGTACCTTTAACCAGGACCCTGCCCGTATACATCAGAAAGGTGACATAGCCCCCAGAGGTCACAGGCTGGTACAGTAACGAGCAGGCCGAATGCCATCTTGGCTGCTCGGAGTAAAGTAAATAGTAGCCAACTATTATATACCATTCTTGTAATACTGTGCACAACAACAACAAAAAAAGAAAAGAAGAAAAATGCCCAAAATCAATTTTTTTCAGTTATTTTGTCATTTTTAACAATACAAACATACGTCTCCTAAAAATGACAAGCTAGAGGTGGGCTGTCTACATGCTCTACGCATCTTTATGAGCAATATTTTTTATTTAGGTTATAAATAGACAATGCATCAAGGACAGTCTGTATCAGTGCATCGACACTGACAGTTTAGTTGGGCATCTGACAACCCTGAGTGCGATTTGGATAAAGAAGTTACAACTTTGGAAAAGTTGTGGGAACGAACGCATAAATCTGTAAATTAGCAAATCACAGTTGATAATATGTTCCTAATTTACCTCCATTGTCTCTGATCATCACATTAATCTAAAATTTTTATACGAGGGGTGATCCTCTGTGGGAAAGTGCCTGCACCAATATCTCAATTCTAGTTCACTATCTTCGGTTTTGCATATTCTCCCCAAAATAAAGCCAACATTCTATATTTGCACGTTAAGTGTTTAGCTAATGTTCCGCAAGGAATACTATCAGACAAATTCCTTATCCCCATAAGGACACAACTTCTGGAATAAAAGGGAATCATGACGGAATATTTCCGTCATGTGTCCTTAATGGGTTAACTCATTTAGGACAAATGATATATCACGAGTGTCAAAACAAATAAATAAAATAATATTGCTCTCTGTCTTTTATCTGATCATTTCTATTTCCCTTGCCATGGAGTTCCGCCAATAATATTCAATTAACGTTTATGACTTACGTGGTCTTGCAATACAGGGATCCATTTTTTTTTCACTTGCTGTTGTGTGATGATTAATAATCGATAAGGGAAGCACTAATCACTGGACCCTCAATGACAGGTTACAAATCTTCAGACATTATTGTAGGCTGTTAGAAACTCCAGATTTTTTGGCAGCCAGGAAGAACAGCTTGATTACCTGTTTGGCAGTTATTTGACAGCCTGTGGCTTAAAGGGATACTTTGATAGATACAACAATCCCTGTGAGAGTTGAAATGGGAAGGACAGAATTTGAAGTATGTTTCCCGATTGGCTAATAATGATGACGGGGGAGGGATTTCTTCAGTCACTGTCATCTCAGTTCAGAATTCATATATGTCGGGTTCATTTAAAGTTTCTTAAATATACTTTAAAATTCAAATCAGAATAATAATCTGTAAAAAGCTGCAACATGCATCTTTTAAAATAGATATAGTAATAAAGTGATTGCCCCCCCCCCCTTTTCCTCATAGAGCATCATTAGCCTCCCAAAATAATTAATACGATTAAACGTTTATAATCTTTGGTCCAAAGGTGTGTCTATAAAACCGGTAATACAGTTTAATTTGAAATATATATATATTTAACCAGTTGTGACTTTGACATCAGAGAGCTTGAAAATATTTTTTGTAAATACAATCTGCAAACAGGCAATGCATCATTAGATAAAATACACACCCTGACTACCTTGATACTGCGCTACAGAGGGAGTTCTGCCATGTGTTCCTAAA